TAACACTGCCTTTGCAAAGAAGAGTCTCTCAATTGTGTTCTATCCGGATATGAAAATAGCTAAGATAAAATGACATTGTTTTCTTTGAAACAATATATTGAATGTAATTGGGGTTAGAAGCGAAAAAAAAAAAAAATGGAACAATGGGGTGTATGTACATAGTAACCCACGACCCGTTGGAACTGCCAAAACCAAACAACGCCACTACTAGCAATATAATGTTAAATCGACATCGACAATTGCCAATTAAGAAAAACCAAAATTGTCTGCTTGTGTAGGCAGTTTTCGTTTTTCATTTTTAAGGATCAAGTCTTCTCATGTCTTTTTTTTTTTTTTCATTTTGCGTTTTCACATAAAACCCCCCCCCCCCTTTTTTTTTTTTTTTTTTTTTTTTTTTTTCGTGTGAAACAACATAAAGAGAGTAAAACATTAAGATATATGATTCATCATGAGGTGTAGAGTTCAAATCTCTTGAAAGAGAGAATAAAAGGTTGCATTTTGACACCATAAACTACCTTGATAAATCAAGTAGTCTTCATTGCTCTTCATCAGCCAAGGGCACCCCAACATCAATATCTCTCTCACACAAATGTTATTCAAAGCTTTTCATTTTTAAGGGTCAATTTTTCTCATGTCTTTTTTCATTTTGCATTTTCACATAAAACCTTTTTTTTCCCTTGTGAAACAACATATATATAGAGAGTTGTTGGGATTTTCATTGATGGATTTGTTTTGATTGATTTGTTGGCCTTATTTTGGGCATGTTTTAGTGATTGATCTGATTAAAAATTGATTGTCAGTTGGGATGTTATTTTGGGAAGTTTATGATTATTTAGAAACTGTTTAAAATCAACCATATTTGATTTGATTTGGTAAAAGTCAACTTTTAGGTGATTTTGGTAAGATGAGTTGTTTGATTTGCTGCAAAAAATTTTGTTTTATAAATTGATTTGCTGTAGAATATCTGTCTTAGAAAGTTTATGATTTGATTTGGTGAAAGTCTAACTTTTGGTTTTTTTTTTGGTAAGTTAGAAATTGATGGGATAAATGATTTATGGATGAAATTTTGTTGGCTTAGAGGAATCACCAATGCTTCAGAAGAATATGTCCAGGTTTGTGGGGTTTTATATGGAAAGATTTCAAGAATCAAAGTGATTGACATTCGGATCAATTTTGACAGCTTTGTTACAGATATTGTTGCAACAGAATCTGCAATAGATTGTTGATAGCGGACTGCATTGAAGACCTTTGATAGCTGGATTTTTTGGCTATTTAATTGAAGTCTCACAAAGGTCTCAGCACGCCTTTTGCGTCTCAAAATTTCAATGAGTCATATTATTTGTGAGTGTTTTTGTAAGTCACTTCGGGAGAAGGGATTAAGGTTTTCGGGAGAAAACTAAGTGTCGAAGGGATTTCAACGTTAAGTCGAGGGGAGCTTGCTGAGCAAGTTTATTGGGTAGTTGAAAGTCATAGGCGTCATACTTAGAGAGGAAGTCTCGGGGTGTTTAAGTCCATTTGACTTATAACACTGTTTACTTAGAGAATTGTTCATACGTCTGGGCGTGGCCCCACATAGTAGGTGGTTACTGAACCGAGATACCAATCTCTTGTGCCTATTTTCTATTTTGAGTTCTATGTTCATTTGTTGAATCAATTTTTAACAATTAACTTGATAAATAGACAAAACCGGTACCAACAAGAGTAAAACATAAAAATATATGGTTCATCTTGGGTGTAGGGTTCAAATCTCTTGAAAGAGAGAATAAACTATTGCATATTGACAAAATGTAAACAAACTTTATAAACCAAGTAGTCCTCATTCCTCTTCATCAGCCGCCGGCCCCCCAAAATTAATTTATGTTGAAAAAAGTGTATGTGTGTGTTATCCCTCATGGAAAGTGAGTGGAGATGTGAAATGGTTTATATACATGAAAGGACTCAAGAGGTTAACCTTTTGGGTTAAGTTGGGCTCCTGAAGTGTGTTGGGCCAATTTCGCATGTGGTGTCTCCCCAACAAGTGGTATTAGAGCTGATGGTTTGTTTGGGTCACGCGATCACACTCGGTTGTAGTTGCAGGCACGGATGGTGGAGCATTTGGTGGACTCACATGGTTTCAGCTCTCTTTCCCATGCTCGAGTTGGCTCTCATTTAGAGTGTAATGCTTGGATGTGTTAGCTACTTGAAACTTTGGTTCAAGAGGAGCTCGGTGAACACACACATGAGAGAGAAATTGTTGAAAAAAGTGCTAGTGTATGTTGTCCCACATGGAAAGTAAGTGGAGATGTGAAATGGTTTATATACATGGAAAGACTCAAGACCCAATAGGTTAACCTTTTAGGTCAAATTGGGCTCCTGAAGTGTGTTAGGCCAGTTTCGCATATAGTGTGATCCCAACCCTCTCTCACACACACAAAAGTTGTTCAAAACCTTTGAGCCTCTTCCTTCTTCCAACCACAACCACCTCATTCTTTCAAGCCAATGTTGCGCCTTCTCTCCCTCTTCTGTCTTAACACTGTACCGCGCCTTAGGTGTCCAAGTCCAGCCAATCCTTTGTCAATTTCTTCTCCCCTCTCTCTCTCTTCTCTATTTCAAGTGGTTGCAGTTTCTAATGCTTGAAAACCGACAAGCTCGGTTCGGGTTGAAAATTAAACCAAAATAAAAGAAAATAAAAACCGAACCGTGTAACCTGTTACAAGAAAAAAAAAGTACATTATTGTCATTCTATGCACTTGGTGGGTGGGATTGCCATTCGGTAGTCTTGTAACTTTACACATCTACATATGTTCAGTCACTTCCAAAGCATGAATGGTAACAAATAATTGAGTATAGTACGAGAATAGTATGTGTGTAATTCTCTCTTAGGAGATACAAAAAGAAGTCTCATGTGAATAAAAATACATATTCCATTTCTTATTATTTAGGGAGGGTGGGGGCCACATGGCTGTATGCAGCCATTAACCGAAGTTCCTTGCAATTCTCAATTGCTACATACAAGGGGACCACTCTCTAGCCAAACAGTCATCGGAAAGGACTATTTCTCTCATATTATTGCCGATAAATAATGAATAGTATTAGTAGCCGTGCAAGAAATTGCAGGCCAGAATAGGAAAAAAGAAAAAAGAAAAAGAAAATGCAGCGAACTTTATCTCTTTTCCTAAAGGATAAGAGGGAAAAGAATTAGGGCCATGAGTGAAAGAGACAAAGGAACCACCCCACCACTTCCTTTACTCATTTTTGTCTACACATTTGACAAACGCGCAAAAATAAAGAATAAAAATAAACGCGAAAAACAAAGCAAAAAAATAAAAAATAAAAATAAAAGAGCCTTCACAACTACCAATCAATCAAACGTGCAACCACATAAACAATACTATGTCCAACACTATTAAAGGTGTAACTTTAGGCTGTCCGGCCTGACCCGATCTGGCCCAACGGTCTAAAGAGAAATTTTAAGTCGATCCAACCTGGTTTTAAAAGAGAGAGGGTCAGTCAGTCTGGCCTTAAGCTCAAAAAATTTAAGGCCAGCTTGGTTCAGTCTGAAATTTTATAAGGTATTTTTTTTAAAAAAAAAATTTAATAATATGATTTCTCAGTCTTAAAAGAGAGAGGGTCAACCCAGCCCAATCCTAAGCTCAAAAAATTTAAGGCCGGGCCGGGTCCAGACCAACAGTAGTAGGCATCGAGCCGGTCCGTTTAGCATGGCTCAAACTTACAACTCTAAACACTATATAGAATGTGAGTCTCGTATATAATAATAAGTCTGGTAACATTAGCGCTACTGATAGAATTATTTTATTAATTGTGGTGTTAAACATAATAGTGTACAAGATAAAATAAAGATATGTTAATTGACGCTAGGTCAATCAGTGTTTAATAGATGTGAGTTATTTTCAAGTTATTGAGTCGTGATTAAAGTGCCAAAGGATGCGATAAAGAAAAAGTAAAGTAATGATATGTATCATCACTCGTATTGTCCATGCAGAAATAAATATGTATTATTAAGTCTCACATTGTTATGTAGCAGTATTGATATGATAAGCAGTGTAAACTTTATCAAGTCTCGTATTGTTATGAACTACTGATATGATAAGTCGAGTGTATTTATCAAGTCTCGTATTGTTATGTAACAGTACTGATATGTTAAAAGGACGAATAATGAAGCAATACTATGTGCTAAGTGGTGACACATGGTCAGCTGTGGGGACATTAAGCATCTTTTATCGGCAGACTACAACCATCAGAAAATGCTAAATGAGAAGGTTGGACTTTAGGGGATTTTCTATGATGGATGAAACGGCAGAGTAAAGAAATGGGATATTTTCCATTCTTATCCATCTGCATCCACACGAAGCACCAGACACGTTGTGAGGCACTGACTTCAACGCCAATGTCACTTTCTCATCTTACCATCAAAACGGGCCAAACCCACATTTGGATTTTATGCGAACCCAACAAGGTTGTCACTTTAAAACTTTAGACAAGTCTTGCCCTAAAGCATAATGAAGTAGGCAAGACTTGGATTTAAAATCTCAAAGTTCAGTTCATCTCGAACGACTGAGGAAGAAGATATAGAAATTTGTTAAGGTTTGAATATTCCTTAGTGACGCCTAATGATAACCGCAGTAGATAGGGCCCGTTTGAAATTGGTTTTGCTTGCGCTTTTAGGAAGATTTTAGAATCATATTTTTGAAAGAGCTTAATGGTACAAACATCTTATATGAATTTTCCGATAAACAATCAAAGATTGTTGAAATAAGGTTTATAAATCCTTAATTGAAATCCTGGCAAAAGTATCAAAGTTTACTTAAAAGAGCTTTCTTGAAAAGCCACAGTTTGTAGATTTGACTCTGAACTCTTATGTAGAGCCAAGACTCTTAAGAAACACCATTCAAACGCTATCAGAAAGCTGCTTTTAGACTGGGAAAACCAAAAATAGCTTCCAGAAAGAAATCTGAAACAGGATCATTGAAGGCTATGTATTTACTTGAGAAATACGATCAAGCAAATTGCATAGGAATTCAATAAGAAAATCTACGAGTTACAAAATTGCAGGCATATTTTTGAAAAAAGATTAACAAGCCTCACCCTCAGAAAACATCAAAATCCATTGAAATCAAATACATCAATACAACAATAAGTCAAGAGCAGAAGAGCTCTCTAGCAGCTACTCTTGTCAAATGCAAAGCCTTTGATGCTAATAAACATAAGGCAATATTCTCCAGGGAACAAGTCTACGGTATTCAGCCCAAACCTCTCTGTACTTCTCTGCGCAGCGAGCCTCGTCCCTTCTTTCCCTCCATATTAGTAGAATCAGAAGATAGATTGGATAGAAGTATGGAACTGGGGAGCTGCAAGACGAATCAATTCTTAAAATGGAAACTCACCAACTCAAATTTGTATAACTAAATGGAGTATAGGATGAAGGACGAGAAAAAAATACCTTATCCCGCAAGGTAAACTGAAGGATAGTGCAAGCAACAAGTCCCCAAGGTAATTAGAGTGCCTCGCGATCCCCCTTCATGGCGACATTCACAATGTCAAGTAACTTGTTAAGATTTAAGAGTGATACAATTTCCCTATTCCCTTTTTCTTCCTTCTTTAATCTTCTTTCTCCTTTTTCGTTAGTTATTCTGAAACTACCTTCATATTGTTCTCACTAGTACATTCAGTTGCCTCACTTGTTAAAGATTCGACTTTCACCAATGTGGCCGGTGGCCTAAATTAAGTTTCTGTTGATATAAGAGAGTGACAGATAAAGATCATACCAATAACCAGAAGCGAGCAACTTTCCCCCAATGACCTTCGGAGGCCTTCCCCATATTAGTGCTTTTGGGTTCTTTTTGAACACATGTTTTTGCTTGTTAGCTCCTCTAAATACTAAATACCTATCCGATTTGGTGTAAGATAAGAACATAAAATAAAATAAAATATATTTCATAAGAATAATGGCCACAATACTTCAAATGCTAAGAATACTCTCACAGAAGTTACCCTATTATAAAGACGAAACAATTTGCTATAACGGCGGCTGTTGTTAGTTCCACCTTGTTCTTCAAAAGCCACCAACCCTTTAACAGAATTAACAGTGATCAACAGTAATAAGCTAATTAGTTAATATGATTATGGGTGTATCTGATATAGTTAAGTACTCAGAAAGGTTGTAATGAGCTCTATGCCAAGAAAGACGGATAAAAAAAAAAGGAGCAATTTATGGTAGGGGAAAATAAATCAAAGATCAGGTGCATCATTACGTGCCTGGATGCTAAAAGTGAAAGGAATCCACACTAGGTCTCCAAATACCAGCATGAAGCCTAATCTCTCTGCAATTATGTCCCATCTATACAAAACAATAATGAACAAATTGGTTGAGATTATGACCATAGATATGAAAATGAACTTAAAGATTTAAAAATATGGCAAAGGGGGTGCAGGAAAAGACGATCTTATCAAATGCAAGCTTCCATCTTCCTTGAAGATGCAACTGCTGCAATAACATGACAATACACTTACGTGGAAGTCATGTACTCCTCGTTAACAAAGTAGTCCAGGATGTAAAACTGGAACACAAAAGATATGAAAAGAATGTCATAAATCACTTAGAAAAAGTATATGGAAAGAATAACAAATTTGAATTATCAGATCCTGATTACCGCACAGAAAAATTGGTACAGGATCATTGACCGATTCAAAGTGGCATCTTGAATACTTCTTGCAAGAACTGACAGATTAATAAGCAGCCAGCCCATCATTCCTTTTTTATTCCTGCTCTAACAAAGAAAAATCTACAAGGAAACACCATAGATTTATGCTACTTTTAAAGTGATAGGTGGCCTAATTTGAAGATTCAAAATATAAAATAAAAAGGAAAAAACTATAAATATCGGACTACGTACTTGAGGTCAATGCCCAGAAACTGGGGATTCAGCTGTATTCCAAACCACCTAGCAAACAAGATGCAGATTAGCCTTGTCGATATAACCAACTACAAAGTGCTCCACAAGGAAGTGAAGGAAACAATGAAGACACTGCGCCCTTCATTCCTTGGCCATTAATATAAAATTATAATTCAAAACAAAAGAGTTTTAATCATTGCATAAGTGAAAATAGGTTTCATCAATTAGTTCTTTGTCAAGCCACACAAAAGGAGGAGAATTTTAGTACAGATGTCAAAACAAAGGAGTATTAAAGAGCTCGTACTCTTGAATGACTGCATATCATAAGATAGAAAGAAAAATGATATTAGGCTAAGTAGGCCGCTAAAACTCCCCAAACTTTCACCAGGTTTAACATTCATCAGAACAAGTACCAGTCATGTATTAGGTTTCCTGTGACATGAGGCTTTAAGGATGAACCCTGATTCCTTGAATTGCAGCCAGTGGCATAGAGGACCAGCGTGACCTATCATTAAGAAACAAAATAAAGAAGTGTAAACTATAACCATGTATGCCAATATATACAAAAGCTAGCAAATAATAACAGGCAAGCACTTCCATAAGTGGGGGAAAGAAAGTTATATTAAGACGGCTTCTTAGTGGTAAATATGTCACTTGTAACATACTAGGAAACTGAACAAAAACGTAGTTGAAAGCAGATCAAGGCCTCTGTCTGATATAGCCTGCAAAAATTGTCAAAAACAAATGAGAATCCCAAAGATGCAAAATCAAGCGAAGAAATACTTTCTTGTATCCTCTCTTTCTATATGTCTATAATCAGAAGGGGAGCGGGAGCAGAAGAACGGAGAAAGGCCTGCAAAAACTGGCGAAACTACATAGTGAAACACACAAATGCGGTCGTCACGAGGAACGAAATGCATTTCCAGGCATAACATAAACTTTAGGTCAAACCAAGATGTCATACGACTTCTGGATCATCTTAACTAGATGTTGCTATAAATAAGGATCTCCAGCCCATTTGGCTCGACCCTGAACAACAATTTCTGCCCCATTTTCATTCTTGAACAAATTACTCATCTGAAAATATGGTTTCTTCGAAGTTATAGAAATCTGTCTATTCAGCTACATAGAATTTCTCCTGGAGAACTGAATGAACTCAAACAAGGACTAATGATGAATTGCTGATGGAAAATTGAGACACAAACGGTAGGTGACACAACGCCCATCTTAGAAGCAATCCCAAGATGTCAAAAAAAAAACAGAGAATTTATAGCTGCAAAATCAGGCGAGGAAATATATTCTTATGTCCTTTCTTTCTATACGTGTACAATCAGAGGGCAAGCGGAAGAACAAAGAGAACCATGATCAAGCATAACATAAAAGTTTTAGGCCAAACCAAGATGTCATGCACTAAGTTTCAAAAGTCCAAAGAGTGCAGACTAGCCACAGAGCTTTCGGGATCCATGCATCACAGACAGTATCTCCCCATGGCCTTTCGCTATGACTTTTGGGTCAACTTATGTATATTTTGGCATAAATATGGATCTCCCACCCATTTGCCCTGCTTTCAATTTTTCATTGCGCAATTGCAAAAGGAGATCCCCCAAAAAAATTCTAATTGTTATCCCCAAGAACAATTTCTACACCATTTTCCTTTATGAACAAACTGCTCATCTGACATATGGTTTCTACTTCAAAGTTATAGGAACTTGTATATTTAGCTACATACAATTTCTCCTATAGGAAAGAAATCAAAGAATTATCTCAAACAATCCTTCAACAAACGAAAAAAGAATAAACTCAAACAAGGACTAGTGATGTTTATAGAATATTGAGACACATACGGTAGGCGACAGAACTTCCATCTTAGCAGCAATCCCAAGAGCCGCGACCAGCAAAACAAGTGATAGCAAACCTACCAATTAAAAATGAAAATAGAAAAATGTGAATACATAACCATAACCAACGAATATTGGAAGAAATACCAAGAACTTAATAATGTCCAATAATTACCAACATTTCACATAAATTTATCTCGTTCTCCTTGTTATCTATCTTTCTAATCCATATTTGGGATAATATAAGAATTTCAACATTTACTTTCTAGAGTATAAGATATAACTACATAACCAAGTAAACTAGCCATTTGCAGCTCAGATTCAGAAACAAAAACACACAGGTTGCTGTACATCAAATGTAACGCATTGACAAACATGTGATATATATACATACACATATGTAGGAAATATCTTAAGTCTAACAGCCGGATCAGTCCGGCAAATGTAACCTTTTTGTATTATCGTGTAATATCATTCTTTTGTGTGTAATATTTCGTTTGATGAAGTGTAACATTCAAAAAATAGAATCTAACACATGTAACATTGAGTATAGAACTTAAAACAAAACTCAAACTGAATGTTAGATGCACATATGAACAATGTTGCACAATTTTTTTTTTTTTTTTAAAGTTACATTTCCTGCCGGACTGTACAGCTGCCGGACTTAAGACTTTACCTAAATATATATATATATATATATATATATATGTGTGTGTGTATGGATGGATGTATATATAAAAACTGACCATTGCAGCGATAATGAAGACGAGTGCCGTCTCGTAAGACAACGCCGGGGACGACTTTTCCGGGAAGTATGGATCCGAAAATTGGCAAGTAAATGAAGAACGCCGCTAGAATCCCAACCTGAGGAACCAAATGAAAAATCGAAAACGGCAAATTAATGGACAAAGGAAAAAACTGGGGACAGAAGAAATGGTGGGTGATTCGAAGAATACTAGTAACTTACGGATGTCCATGAGGGAATTAGGGCGCTTAGAGGAAGACCCAGATCCATAAATGAATGTCTAGTGTATATCTCCGTCTCACTCCTCTACCTCTCTACTCACTGTGACTCTGTCACTGAACTGATGACTGGTTATGGCCCCTCTCCGAGAAATTTGCTAGCGTAACTATCCAAGTAGGAGTGTTCAAAGAATCCGTCCAATTGCGAAAACTGTCCGATCCAAATTAAACCGAAGTAAATAATTAATTAATTTTAAATTATTAGTTTAGTTAGTTTTTTAGGAGACGTTTGGTTCATAGATTAGAATCATGAGATTAAAATTATTTTTGATTTACGTGTATTTTTTATGAGAAAAAATACTGTAACGAATTACGAATCATGACTCGAATCGGGGTACGAATCTCCCAACCAAACAACTCCTTAATCTAAATTTTTTAGGTAATTTAGGGCTTATTTAATTATATTTTTAAGTTATGATGACTTAAGTGTACATCTTGAGTTGAATTTAAATTATAATTTGAGTTAAAGTTATAATTTAAGTTTGTGTTTAATTGTGTACATTTGAGTTATGATTTGAGATGAGAATCATTCTTAAGTTTGTGTTTAGGTAGGTTAAAATTTGAGTTTGTATTTAGATAGTATTTTAACAAAAATTCAATGATGATGAAAAATTTTAATAGGGTATATAAGTGGAGTTTTATTCGTCTATTCGTTGTGAACGCATTAGAAAAAGAATCATATCAATCAGAATTAAAACGAAAAAGTTATAGCGTTTTTAAAAATAGAAAAAATATTGTTTATTAACTTGAGTTTGAATTTAGGAACTTGAGTTGAAGGAGAAACTTGAATTCAGATTTTAATCCAAAATACAAGTTAAAACTCAAGTTTAAATTCAAATTTTACAAAAAAAAATATGAACTTGAGTAAAGTTGTAACTTGAGTTCAAACTTTTTTGAGTTTGAGTGCAAATGAACAAACCCTTAATTTGTAGTTTGGACTTCTCAGACCGCCCAATAATCTGTGCAAAAATATACATATATACTTTTTTTAATTTTTAAAATATTTTTTATGTTTATTTTACAATTATAAAATACACCCTATCACATTTTTATTTATTTGTATTAAAACTTTAATGATAAACTGTTAGACATTTATTATTTTTGAGTTATATTATAAACTTGAATCTTATTTTTATTTTTATTGATTAATAATTTTATAATTTTTATGAATTTTTTTTTAAAAAATTCATATTAAATTTAAACTGCCCAAACTGCTTATAAGTGATTTGGTTTAATTTAATTTTTGTCAAAAATATCAAACCGCTGCTTATAAGTGATTTGGTTCAATTTAATTTTTATCAAAAATATCAAACCGCTCAAAAGCGCCTAAAAGAAAAAGTTACTTTTAATTTAGTTGGTGATTTCTATTAAAAAAAAAATGCCTAAACCGACCGCGAACACCCTTATATCCAATAAAACAATTTTTTTAATTTTTATAACAGAATTGAAATAGTACCACATCAAAATTAGAAAATTTTAAAGTTAATCAATATTTTTCTAACTATTATTTATGTCACTATATAAAATTTTAATATCATTATTTTAAATTTAATTATCATTTTTTCAAACTCTATTATTTATATCACTATATAAAATTTTAATATTATTATAGAATATGACATGCAGATTATAAAAAATAACATACAAGTTATTAGTGGTATAAAATAAATTTATGGAATGGTCTTTAGTCAGGCACCTATACAAATGCCTGACTGATTCGGCTGTAAATGTAAGCTGCCCGATCATTTGGCAGCAACTAGGAAGCATTGAAGGGCATCTATAATTAAAAAACGTAGTTTGACTACTTAGGCTGGCAACAACAACAACAACAACAACAACAACAAGCCTTAATCCCAACTTAATTGGGGTTGGCTATATAGATTTAACTTTTTTCACACAACTCTGTTCGAAATTAAACTTTTCTGAATGCCTAGATCTAAAATGCCTTTCCTAACAACTTCGGAACACGTAATTCTTAGTCTACCCCTCCCTCTCCTAGTATTAGGTATAAGAATGTCCTCCTAAGCACGAACTGGTGCTTTTAGCAGTCTACGTTGGACATGCTCGTACCACCTCAAACAGTTTTCGCACACCTTATCTTTTATTGGTAACAATAACAAGAATGTAATTATGGGCTGTAATTCAATGGTGAAAATGAGCTAGGTCTGCTAATGGAACTAAGATTGCAAGGTTGACAATGTGTTTCTGAGGTGTTATTAATTTGCTATTCTGGTTCATTCATGTGTATTAATGCCCATTTCTATTCTTGACTGGCCATCAATTTTAGGATACAAGATTAAGATTAATACTGGAAGGGTTAGTTTTAATCGGATCTAACATGAGTGATGCTTATTCAATAACCTTGCTTAGTTGTTGATTAGTGGATGGTATAGGAATATATTATTCACCTTGCATAACTTAAAGAAACCTGAGTTTAAATCTGCATTCTGGAAGCTGGATTCACATAGGAATATGCTGAAAATAGTTTAAGGAACCTTAGTCATAATTAATTCGGAAGAATTTTATGCAATAACGGAGTTTCTGTTAACAGGGGTAGTGAATGCTGCAGCATTCTAGGTAACATTTTAGTCAGACTTGCAATTGAGGGGAAGTTAGCAGACCTAGCTCATTTTCACCA